CACTGTACTAAGTGCTTTACAAATACTATGTCATGACAATCTTGCGATATGGGTGCTATTATTATCCCCATTTTATAGTTGAGGAAACTGAGGTAGACAGAGGTTAGATGACTTGTCCAAGGTCACACAGCTACTAAGTGTCTATAGCTGGATTTGAACACAGTTCTTCCTGATTCAAGGCTCAGCATTTTATCCAATCTGCCATCTAGGAGCTTAATAAATACTTGTTGGCTCTTTGGTTTATATAGATGATGAGACTGAAGTCCACAAACACTAAGTGACTTGCCCAAGGCCTTTCAAGTAGCAATGTGCTTCAAAGGAAAGTATGCTAGATTTGGAATCAGAAGACCTGGCTTGATAATTCACTTAACTTCTCTGGACCTCAGTTTCTTCATCTATAAAACTTAGACAAGCTCTAAGGTCTTCTCTAGCTCTAATATTTAAATCTGAGTAGCAAAGCTGGGACTTCTGCTTATCAGTCTAAAGCTCACTCTACTCCACCCCAGTTGCTGCTCAAGGACAATGAAGTGTAATCAGTGACTTTGATAAAGGCACCCATGGGTGCATTTATCTGACGTGGAGGTGACCCAAAGCTAGGAGGGATCATTAACATACTGGATGACAAAGTCAGGTTCTAAAAAGATATTGACAGGCTGAACCAAATAATATGAAATTCAAAAAAGACCGATGTAGAGTCTTACATTTGAGTTTTCAAAAAATCAAGTTCACATGTCCAGGATAGAGGAGGCCTAATCAGACAGCAGTTGTTCTGAAAAAGATCTGTGGTTTTAGCTCAGTAGGAATCAGTGAGAGCTAATGTATTCTTGGGCCGAATTAAGAGAGGATATAATAAGTAATGAGGAGAAGAATGCCATGTTGCCTCTGTTTTACTCTTTAGATGTTATCTGTAATATTTTGTTGAGCTTTGGATGCCATAATTTAAGATGGACGTTGATGAGCTGGAGGAAATCCAGAAGGGTCCAACCAGATTGAAAGTCCTCGAGTCTATGTCTTATGACAACAAGTTTAAGGAATTGGTGGTTCTTACCTCAGAGGAGAGAACATTAATGGGGGACATAACAGCTGTCAATGTACCTGAAGGGCTGGCATATGGAAAAAGGGATGTCTTACTTTATTTGGTTCCAGAGGCTATAATCAGGAGCAATCAGTGGAAGTGGCAAAGATGCAGAGTTGGGCTTGACATCAGGAAAAATTCCCAAGTAATTAGAACTATAGGCTATGCCTAGAGGGGGCAGATTCCTCTCCTTGGAAATCCTCAAGCAGACACTCACTGGATGGCCAGCTACCTGTTGGGTATGTCACGGTGGAGATTCCTGTCCTATGTGGATTGGACTAGGTAGAGGATGAAGTTATTTCCACCTCGCAAACTTCATGCTTCTGATTTGGAGAAAATCTCATTTGAGAGAGACTCAGCATTTGGCCCTCTCAGATCAGCACCCCAGGAAGAGGAAGGACATTAAGGAGTTGCTACATTTGATTTACCATCTCTCCAAGCATTCAGAAGCTTCTGGAAGGTCAAAGTTATAACTAGGAATTCTGGACATACAGTGCAATTTTGCTTAAACGTAGGTTGGAAGGTAGTCACCTGACGTTCAAGAAAGCCTTGGGAGCCCGCCTTAGCTACACTATTACAAAAGCATGGCACAGGTTCCCAGGTCCAGAAACTACATGATGCATCTCTGGTCAGATGCTCTTGTGACAGAAGAGGGGGAGCCCATTCCACTAGAAAGCTGGACTCAGATTTCCATGACACAGCTAACAACCCCTGACTCCTGATCCTTGACCCCCCAAATCTTAGGAAAAGGAAGACATGGGGAGGTAGTAAGCAGTGGCTACAGTGGTAGGAAAGGGCAGGCTTTGGAAGTTTTGAGACAGCAACAGGACCAACCACAAAAGCACAGGAACAATTGACCGAAGGACCAGCAATGGAGAGGAAGTGCCCCTCTTAGATGTTGGTGCCCTAGGGACCGTCTCCAATTACCCTACCTTAGTTTTGTTTTTACTAATGTAGACCCTAGCAAAGTAACCTATCCTCAATGGCAGTGATCCAGAGATTCAGCCTCCCTCTTGCCCTTAAGAGGCATCTGTGGCATAGTAGACAGAGCAGCTCTGCTACTAAATAGTTCAAAGTGCTAAAGTGAACAGCTGGTTCAGTCCCTTAATTAAATTCGATAAGGCATTATCATTGCTACTTTACAGATGGATGCTGTGTGACACCATCCAGGTCACACACAGCTAATTGTGTGTGTGGGGGTGCAAATATTAGATCTTAGATCTTTTGCCAGTGTCCTTTCCACTGTACTTTATTTCCAGGGAGGAGGGAGAGGAGGAGGAAGAGGAGGAGGAGGAGGAAGTGTTGGAGAATGGAGGGGAGAACTCTAAGTGACCTAGATTTCACCTCTTCCCCTCTCCTTACCTGAAGCGTGCCTCTAGGCATGCTTCTGAGAAGTCCCCCTCCAGGATTGGGGGAACCCAGAACTTCCCTTGTCAAGGGAGAAGGGTGACCTGTAAAAGGTTTGTGCAAACTGAGATCTGAGCCAGACCAGAAACAGTTATGACTCTGAAAAAAACAAACCAAAACAAACAAACAGGACCTCTGGCAGCAAAGGGCCAGATCCAGTCCGACCTGGGCATTGAGGCCTCTCTCTTTCCTCTACTTTCTCCCTGGCTCCATTTTTTCCTTTCGGGAACCTTGCTCACCCTCTTCCTTCTCCCTTGCTCCCGTCTCCCCCGAGCCCACTCCCACTCTTGGGGGGTTGACACTACCCAGACCGAGGGGCCCAATGCCCCAGGGTGGGCTGGCTTTTGCTCGCCCCCTCCTGCTTAGTGCTTTGCTTCTTCACATGTGGTGGCAGCAGTGGGGCTGAATGTGGCCCATCCTCCATTCTTCCTGGGACCCCAAGGAGAGCCTTGGGGGATAGAATTTGCCTTCTGTGCCCCTGGGTGGGAAAGGGTATGATGCAGTCAATAATTTCAATTTAATTCATATCAACACACATTTTTTAAAGGATTTGCTATGTGCCAAGCACTGTGCTGGTCAATGATGGTCCAAAGAGCAAAATGAAACAGTCGCTGTCCTCAAAAACCTTACCCTCTCTGGGAAGCAAGCAGTAAATGCTACCTTCCTCTACAGAGGGGATGCCTCTTACCCTCAGGAAAATAAATAAGAAAAAAAAAATCTAACTCCTAAGTCGTAAAGCCTAGAGACCCAATAGGTCCTCAGATGGTCTAGAATGCCAGTGGCCAATGGGAAAATAGTACTTTTTCTCCTTGCAGTGTGACCTGAGGCCAGTCACTCTCCAGACCTGAATGTCTCCATCCATGTGCGGGAGGCAAAGAATACTACTACAATCAAAGATCCCAGTTAGAAGGGGCCTCAGAGATCATCTAGTTCAAGCTAGGAAAGAAAGAAAGAAAGAAAGAAAGAAAGAAAGAAAGAAAGAAAGAAAGAAAGAAAGAAAGAAAGAAAGAAAGAAAGAAAGAAAGAAAGAAAGAAAGAAAGAAAGAAAGAAAGTTAAATAACTTCCCCAAGGTCTACAGGTACCAAGCATCAGTGGCCCGATGAACCCATGTCCTCTGACTTGAAAGCATTCATTCCATTGGACTACTCTGCGAGAGGTTAAACATTTCAAGATATAGCAGATATCACACTATTGACTTACATCTCTCACTGTGTGACCTTTGGCAAGTCACATAAGCTAAGCCTCAGTTTTGCTTTCTATAAAATAGAGATGATAATATTTCTATTGTTCTCTATTCTATTTCTATTTTCTATTTCTATCTTGCAGGATTCTTATGAGAAAAATGCTTTGCAAGGATAATCATTTTTATTTTCCTTTTCCTTTTCAAGCAACCCAGGGGTCAGCCTGAGGCTGAGAATGTGGGTATTATTCTCTCCATTTTGCAAATGATGAAAGAAGCTCAGACAGGTTAAGATATTTTCCTAATATCACATAACTAGTAAGTTCAAATTCAGTCTCAGACACTTACTAGGTGTATGACCCTGGGCAGGTCACTTCACCCTGTTGGCCTCAGTTTCCTCATCTGTAAAATGAGCTGGAGAAGGAAATGGCAAACTAGTATCTCTTGCCAAGAAAACTCCAAATAGGGTCACAAAGAGTTGGGCAAGACTGAGAAAGGACTGAACAACAGCAGCAGTGAAACAAAGCTGGGATTTGAACTTAAATCTTTAGACTCCAAACTGAGTGTTTTTCTCGCCAAACTCTATCTCAATATTGTGATAGCTTATGTTCACGTTGCACTTTAAGGTTAACAAAGCACTCAGATAACATTATATCGTTTGATCGGCACAACATTATGGGGTAGGTAGTATAAATAATATTATTCCCATTTTACAGTTAAGGAAACCAAGGCTTGGAGAAATAAAACAACTTATCCCAGGTCACATAGCTGGTAAGTTGCAGCATGGAGACTCGAACCCAGGTCTTTTGACTTCAAGATTATTATTACTGATTCTTTTCATTACATTAAGGTGCGTATAGCCTGGTGGCTATAAGGAATGATGGAACGAGGTTGGGATTTCTAATTGGGTGGAATGTCATAGATGTGGAAAAGATGGTAGGGATAGTATACACTATGCTCGGGTCTTGGGGAGGGAAGATAAGTATGTCAGAAGTGTGCCATGATAACCATCAAAACTGAATATAGAATCTTCTGAAATAGAAAAGTAGTACTGAGCATACATTTCACCTGCTACCTGCTGCCTTCCTCCTCCATTAGGGAATAGAAGATTGGGGCGAAGGTGGGGAGACTGGATATCGCCCTCGCTGAGTCCCCCTCACAGATCTTCACCCCCCGGGGGTTTCCTCACACATCTCCCCCGAGCCCACTCCCACTCTTGGGGGTTGACACTACCCAGTCCCTTCCACCAAACTTGCCAGTCTCTCAGCCCCCTATTACTGAGAGTCCTGGTCTAGCTGGTGCCCTCTTCTAGGAGATCCCAGAGAAGTTGAACTCACACTTGGCTCTTTTCTTCTCTGTTTTCACCTTCAGGGGCACTGCCCCGTTACCATTCCAGCTCCCTGAACTCCGAAGGTGTTATCTGTGCCTCACCCGGAGGCTGCCAGCAGGGCACTGGATGCTGCCAAAACTGAAACCATATGAAGTCTGGACCCACACCTGTCTTGGGCTCTTAAAGAGACACCCTCCCATGGGCACACTGGCCAGCCAACAGCACGTGACTCCCACCAATTCCCTGGGTCTTTTTCCTTTTGGCTTCTCCAACTGGTCCTATCTGTTCACTTCCTCTTAGCTTTGGAGAAGGCCTATTGATCGGGAATCAGATTGACTGTGAGTTGAATCAACAAGGTTGCCTACACACATGCAAAGGACCAGGCTAACCCCCTGGGTTGCTTGAAAAGGAAAAGGAAAATAAAAATGATTATCCTTGCAAAGTATTTTTCTCATAAGAATCCTGCAAGGTAGAAATAGAAAATAGAAATAGAATAGAGAACAATAGAAATATTATCATCTCTATTTTATAGAAAGCAAAACTGAGGCTTAGGTCACACAGTTAGTCATAATAACTGATGGAAACTCACTTTTCCACAGTACTTTGCAAAGTGCGAAGTCCTCTCCTCACAACAGCACTATGAGGAAGGCATTGTAAGTAGAATCAAAGCATCAGAGCTGTAAGGGACCTTCCAGTGCATCTGCTCTGATGCACTTTTACCAGTCTTTTTACCAATAATGAATGCAAAGCACAGGAAAAGGAAATGACTTTTACAAGGTCACATAATAACCGAAAGAACAGGGACTCAAGCATAGACTCCCAGCTCCTGCTGTAGTGTTATTTCCGCCTCACCTGGGTGCTCTGCTAGGACTGCATTTCTTAGCCTCAACCCATCCAGCTTCAGCAACACCCCCCCCCCCCCCCCGTCAGCGACAATAAGGGTCCTGGGATCTGATCCTGAAGGAAGCTCATTCCAGACCTCCAGCTAATGGAAAGAATACTCACTCAAGCCATAGGATCTGGGTTCAAATTCCACCTCCAATGTTTACTACCTGCATAACCTTGGTCAAGTTACATAATGTCTCTGAGGTCCAGTTTCATCATCTGTAAAATTGGGGAGTGGGGATGAAAAAGATGGCCTCTGAGGGTCCTCCTACCTTTACATCAATCCTTTGTTTCTGTCAGGCCACCAGGCAGGACTTCCAGGAGATCAGGTCCCAGCTGCTCCCGACCCTCTACCCTTGGAGTACAAAGGGTTCAAGGTCCCTCTCATACATAGCTAACTCTGGAATCTTTGCTGGGCTCTGGGACCCTCCCCATAGTTAAGCTAAGGCCAACTTAAAGGCTTAGAGACAGTATCTCCTAGCCCTCCTGCTTACCTCATAACTTCATTCTTCTAGGGATTTTTCCACATTGAACTTGTCCTGAAGTAAGTGACTGCAAACTGGTCTTAGGTTCATCTTCCCCCCCACCCCACACAGGTAAGCACACCTATGCATATCCAGTCCACACACACACACACACACACACACATACACACATACACACACACACACACACACACACACACCCTGAAGCCGACACAGCCCACCCAGGCAAGGCTGACTCAGAAGTCTCCCTACTCCAGCACTGACCCAGAGATTTAGCCCCAGAAGGGGAAGAAAGAAAGGAGAAGTGAAGCTGGATGGAACAACCAGGCAGTCAAAGCCCTGGATCCTATTTTGGGCCCAGCCACAGCTGGTGGTGTGCCTGGAACAGTGCAGCTTCCTCTCCTTGGGGCTGAGTTTTTTCATGTGGATGGAAGGTGGGGTGGCTTAGCAGAACCCACACACAGAGCCCAGACTTTGCTATTGACTGCCTGAGACAGGCTACCTCCCCTCTCTGGGTCTCAGTTTTATCTTCTGTAAAAAGGGGATAATCAACTATATTATAGATGACATTTACATAGCATTTTAAAGTTTGCAAAGCACTATATTTCACATATAATATTTAGCACTTTAAAGCTTATAAAGCACTATATTACATATAAAATATTATATATTATAGTATATGTTTAAAGTTTACACTTTAAAGTTTATAAAACACCATATTTTACATATGTAATATTATATATTATATAGCACTTTAAAATCTACAAAGCATAATATTACCTAGAAAATATAATATATTATATAGTAATTATATAATTATGTTATAATGTATCTTTTAGATGGTATATAAATGCTTTATAAAGTACTATATCATATTTTTGTATGTAATATAGTACTAAAGTTGTATATATATCATATGTATATATATTATATATAATGCTTTGTAAACTTTGTGTATATATTTTATATATGTGTATACTGCTATACATATGCATGTGTGTATACATATACAGAGAGATAAATATGTAGGTAAATAGATACATAGATGGACAGGTAGGTAGACAGGTAGATGGACAGATAGATGACTCTGGGCTAGTCATTTAACCATTGTTTGCCTCAGTTTCCTTATCTGTAAAACGGTGAAAATAAGAGCACTTACCTCATAGGGTTATTGTGAGGACCAAATAATATAATAATTGTAAAGTGCTTAACACAGTGCCTGGCACATAGTTAAGCACTATATAAATGTTAGCTATGATAGACAGATAGATAGCTTGGAGCAAGTTTGATTTAGACCTTCTTTTCCCCACCAGGCCAGATCACTATCTTTGCTGACCTTGGCCACATTGATGCCCAGATATTTTACAACTTGTTTGATCTAATGTTTGTTGTCCTTGATATCCACAGTGAATGCCAGATTGTTGATGATAGTGTAGGGATCAAGCTTATTCCTCCCATGGCCACCCTTCTGAGGAGGTTAGGAAGGAAGATAGATAGACAGATAGATAGATAGATAGATGGATGGATGGATGGATAGATAGATGGATGGATGGATGGATGGATGGATAGATGGGTGAATAGATAATAGATACACACTTCATATATATCTATATCTATCTATCTATCTATATCTCTCTCTCTATATATATACAGTGTGAACATAAATACATGTAGATATAGTGTGTATATATACATACAGATATACATCTATATCTGTATGTATATATATATATATACATATATATATACATATATATATATATTCTTTATACTTCATACTTTCAAAGCTTTCTTCACATTTCAGCTCTCAGGGAAAGACTCTCAATGACTTTCAGCTCCTTTCTTGATATTTTTGCATATTCTTCTTTTCCCTCTTGAGTAACCATGGGAAACACTCTTGTGGTTTGCAGAGTGTGATGACAGAGGTAAGGGAAAGATATTATAGACACCAAGAGCAGTAAGAAAGAAGAGAAACTGGTGATTTGGGATTAACTGTGGCAGTTCTTCAACACAAGAGGATTCTGAAAATCAGGGAGGTTCAATGATTTGCTCATTATCACATGGGAAGTAACAGAGCCCTGATTCAAACCCAATACCTTTAATACTGATTCTGAAGAGGACTAGGACTTTTGGGGTGCTGCAAACCCAAAATCGCAGTACCAGGCCCTGCTGAATGAATTCAACTCAAATTTTCTTCAGCCAGAGGAAAAGTTTATTAGTGATAAATTGCATTGGCTAGGTGACACCGGTAAGGACCAGTGGGCATGAGAAAAGTTCAGCCTCTGGGGCATGACAGATTCTCAGCCATTAACGCCTGTGAGGATGGGCAGGCATGAGAAAGTCTCAGTCTTTTGAGCTTGAGATTCTCAGCGTTGAATGGGGGCCAGGGTGGAATTTTTATACGCTGAAGTAACTTTGGGTGGCTGGAGAAGGGAGCTGGGAAAAGGGTCTAGGTGAGAATTCCAATTGGACAATCTGAGAGATTGAATAGACAATGGGAATAGCTAATGGAGGGAACTGGAAGGCAGAAGTTTGAAAGGCATCTGCACAAGATCAAAGGGTGGGGCTAGGACTTTCAAAGGGAAATGAGGGGAGTCAATAAGGAACCGTTTGCGACCAGAGTAAGGCCTTTCTGGGGCTCAGACAAAAAGGAACCAGATTCCCTTTGGGGCAAGGGGCGAAGATCTTGGCTTGGGCCCTGCCCCCATCAATTCCAGTGTCCTGGAATACTCACTAGATGTATTATATCTAGTGATATAATATAATATTCACTAGAGTTGATCGGAATAGGAGAGGATAGAGGAATGATGTTTCTGATCTCATTCAATTCTCACTATAGCTCCTTGAGGTATGTCAAGTAGGGATTCCTTCAGTAAGTATATACTGAGCACCTAGGGGCCATCTCCAGTCATCCCATCTGTATCTTACCATTGGACCCAAATGGCTCAAGAGGAGATAGTGAGGCTGGTGACCTTGCACAGCCCTCCCTCACTTAAATCCATTTCACTTGCAAGTCATGGCATCATCTTTCTGATGTCATGGTCCTCTTTAAGAATAAAGGACAAACAACGACAACATTGAGTACCTACTATGTGCCTGGCCTTTTGCCAGATGCTGAGAGAGATTTGAAAGCAAACTAAGAGAAGATTTTTGCCCTCTGGGAGTTTGTAATCTATCTGGAAAGACAATAATCAATTAACAACAGTCCTAGGAAACCTATGCTAGTTATCAAACTAGTGATTAAGAAAACAAGAGCCCCAGGACCAGGCCAAAACAATAAACTTCCCTGAAGTACTGCAGGGGATATCTCGCCCCTTTACTACTGGAAATTTACTCAATAAGAAAAAAGTGGTCTATAAATAATACAATGGGAACAAGGAATCTTAGGATGCCAGTGAAAATCATTGAATGCCTAGGCCAATACCTGGGTGTCTTGTAAAATTCCAAAATCTATTCTAGCCTAAGACCCTGGTCCTCCTCCCTAAGTCTGGTCAAAAAACTTCTATCATGATCTTTTGACTCATATTCCTACCCCACTCATCCCCCTACCCAGGAAATATGGTGTCTTTTCCTCCAAGTAGGCTCCCCACTCCACATCCCCATGCTGGCCCAGTTCCCTGGACTTTGGCCTATTGATCTCTTTAAAAATCCACACAACACCCTGGATAAATTGGAAATGAACAACATTGGTCATTGGTTGGGCCTTGGTACTCCACCCACACATTCCTCAATAATCATTGACTTTATCTGTCTACTCCTTCACTTCTGTTCCCTGCCCAACCCTCAAAGAGAAAAA